ATTTTAATGAGACTTGAATTATGTAAACAAAAGAGAGTTTGATTTTATTTTATACTAATTAATCTAAGAAAACTGTAACAATGTGATTTTTACTAATTTTTAGATGATTGTATTGCACTTCGAATCTGCCTATTGCTATCTATTTTAATTCTTGACTTATAATCTAGTTCCGTTCAAAAGTTCTTGACAATCGATAAAACTATGATATATAATTTTTTTTCCAAACAAATTAAATATATTCTAACCACGACCGAATCTATTCCTAGCCCGAATTCGAATTATTAGAATGCATTAAATTTTAAATTATCTATATGATTGTATATATGATAAATGTTATTCCTAACATCTATTACACATATACTAATTTTACCGCATTCTAAACTTATTGTGAGTCTCCCAACTGTATAATAAGCAACTAATTATCTAATTGGTGGCCAATTAATTAAATAATGCAATGGATATGCAAAATTAATCAAAAAAGGCAAAAAAAAAAAAAATTAAACTATTAGTCTTGAATTAAAACAAATAACACATATGTTTCTTCTTTATCCAATACATGAAAATAATTAGCCTAACATGTTTTCATGTAAATTACACAAAAATATTTAGAAAAACATCACTTGAAATTGAAAATAATGAATGGAAAGTGAAAAATCAAATTTTTCTTAGTAAATCTTCAGTCTGACTTTGAATCTTCAATTTTTTTGTATTAATTGCCTTTGAATCCTGTACTAACCTCCTTCTTATGATGAAAAATAGGATTTTGATATGATCTTGCATGTCCCCTTATAGGTTAAATAGTAGATTGAATTTGATTTCCATAAAAAATTGAATCAAACTAGGAGTTGGGCCGTTTAGGCCCATAAATGGCCCCCACCCGCACTGGTATAAATACTGCGCATGTCGTAGAACCAAATGGCTCTCGGGTTGGGGAGGATGGGGTGCCCCACGCGTCATGTATTGGCAGCGAGGGCAAGTTCGCTTCGCTTCATCTCTGAGCAGCTCTCAGTATTTTGGCCATAACTCTCTACAAATATCCGATTGAGGTTATTCAAAATGCGTTGGAAAGGTAATTTAAAAGATAAAATTCTTCTAGAGATAAAATTTTCCCACATCAAACATTTACTATCCTAAAAATGGGTATCAAATTGAGGCTAAAAATCTGAAGTATAACTTCTTTAGTTGAAAATTAATTTGTGAAAATACTTCCATTATATTTTATTCATTTGACCTCCAATTGCATTCAATTGATCTTCTATGATCTTCAATCATCGTTTTGTGCTCTGAATCAATTATTGGATATTTACACTTTGGTCTCCAAACTTTGGATTTTCTTTGTTTTCACACATTTTTCGTTCTTTTTTTCAAATTCACTAATTTGCACTGAATTCAACCTAAAAAATATAATTAACACAAAATTAGGCTATAAATCATCCAAATTACTAGCAAAACTCTAATTTAATAGTTTAGATAAGGGTACAAAATATACTTATCGCACAACATCTCGTTAAAAAATTATTGACAGTGTATGAAACGACGGGTTTCATATGAAAGTCAACTTGTGTCTATAGAATGCGCAGAAGAGAGAAAAAGCGCATAGATGCATTATATACAGAAATTATTGAATTTCTGATTATTTTGGTTTTATCTGTGATTCGATGCCAATATTTTATAAGGGACTCTTTGATAGGGTGGTCATGAATACATGGAAGGAACTAGAATTTCATTATTGTATTTGTCATATTAGATGGAGCACATACAAATATAGAAATTATTTTAATATTGTTTCTGATTCTTGAATTGTCATTCCGCTCAAAGGATGAAAAAAGGGGAAAATGGTCTATACGGAAGACTGCCTCTCTTATTTCTAATTAAACTTTGTGACATGATATTTGTGCAAGTAGAAATAATATTATATTATCACATTATTAATGGTTCCATAATATTATGTGCTTACAACGTAGACAAAATGGTGAATGTGAAAAGAATTGATGAATATTAAATTGGTTCGACCTATGAATTTTGGAGGTCGAACAGTTTATTCGTTTAGCTCTATCCAAGACTTTGCATATAATAATTTCGGATACAGACACATGGGCATCCGTATTTTCCAATTATTACAAACATTACTCGATTGATCATGGTATTTTCACAGGTTGAATCAATAGCAAAGTTGTGGTATCTTTTAATTTGTGTGCTGAATGAGTATACTCATCTATGTCTAGTATGTGAGACCCGTGCAAGATTGACAATAACTCGCCCGAGGAAAGCCATTGGCACAGCAGGACGAAGACATTCTTGGTTTATGACTTTCCATGCATTCGTAACTTGATTTTGAATTTCAGCAAAAGCCTCCTCTTCTGAGGCACCATTATTTTGATTCATGTAACAGCCAACTGCTGATGTTTTCTGCTCAAACTGCACTAAATACAGACAAAAACAACAAATTAGACCAACCTGCATGTTCGAGAGACAAGCACGACTCTCCTGTTAAATCGATTATTGGATTTGTGGTATGTTTGTAAGGACCATCATCGAAGACAAAAATATGAACTTCTTAGCTCGTATCCTACCAAGTCGTTCATTAGTCTACCAATTATTTCTGAACCTTGTAGGATTAATGGTTCACTTGCTACCCACTCAAAGGCGTCCTTGCTCACTAACTCTCCAATGTCTGTCAAAGAAACTAAAGAAGACAATATACAAGTGCTAGATGGCTTTCCCACTTTGGGTCGGAATATAGCCACTCCCATTTTGCCTCTTGAAAACATGCCCTTACCACTCTTTTCTTCTGAAATTTGGAACATTAATAATTTAGGAATACATACATTTGATATATAGCTAGTAATTAATTAATCACCTCCTCTATCACGTAGTGAACAAGGTATGATTTCCCTGTCTTTCCCAACTCTTCAATTAGGTGAACTTTTATTTTTGTTTAATAAATTATTAAGTATGCTATGAGATAATAAAAAATCCATTGAAATAATTTACCTTTCAATTGCATCCATGAGAAGAGTAAGTTCATCTAGAGTCCCATAAATGTCATAGATGTCATCAATGACAGAAAGCATGGCGATTACTTTGGTTTGCATTTTTCTACCATGAGAATATTGGGGCTCAAAGTATCCTCCCAATGCCCAAAAGTAGCATTCGACCATTCTATCTCTTGCAAGAGGTAATTTATTTTCAAACTCCAACGCCTTCCACAACACTACGCAAAATTTATTTTCTGAAGTAAAATTTCAAAAATATTACTAGCATTTATATAATAAATTGACCAGACCTGTTGCTTGACATTACTTAAAACTATGAGAAATGGTCAACTTGTATCGAGAAAAAACTGACCTTGTCACGTCATATACCTCCTTCCGATACATCTTTTGCAATAAGTTGAAATCTAATTTTGCGAAATCCAGCAGCGTCTCGTTATGTGATTCATCTTCTTGATAAATAGAAAAAACTTTCTTGCCCCTAGCCTCGTCATAGTCTTATGAATTGGAAATTCCAAACCTTCCCTAACTTTTGTAGACACAGAATTACTCACAGGGAGGACTACGGAATCGAGTTGAGTGATAGTAAACTTCAATGCTCCCTCAAGAGTGTCCTCACCATCTACTCTGAACTGTGCCGCCTCATACAAGCTTAACAAGCCTTATAAATTGCTAGTCAAATATTCATCGAATTTTCCTTGGCGGTCCTTGAATTTATTGAACACATCTGCTTCAGCCCAAAAAACATGAAATGTACCCTTAAAAAAATGTAGGAGGTGCATGCTAATTTTAGGTACAAAACATTTTCTCGTGATTTTTTGTGTATGTTTCTGGCATGTAACAAATTAGGAGCATGTTTAGGTGTTCTGATTTTACTTACCACATGAGACATAATATTCTTGTTGTCTTAGTAACCGAAATCGAAGAGCAGTGATATGAAGATTGCTTTCTTGTTTGCCACGACTATCATGGTAAGTGTCGTATATATATCTTAGAGATTTTTCAATTTCGGTTTCAAAATAGTGACCAACTCCAAGACGTTGGATTGTGTTAGGTTTTTGATATTTTGTAATTGGCGATTCTGTAAACAAAAAAAGATTGAATAGTACTTTGTTTAAAAAGTTAAGGAGTAATGTGCAAATACGTTGAAAATAGGGTTTTTAGGTCTAGGATTTGACAATGGCAAAATGAGGAAAACGACGTGGATTTTCACCGAACGTCACTAAGGTTTGGCTCGAGCTACAAAAATAGAAATATCATCACTGGACTGTCGCTTCTCCTTTGCTTGAGCGACAGTTTGTCGCTCGATTGTCGCTGAACCCTCGCTCGAGCGACAGTTTTATTTTTATTTCTAACGTACCTATAAATACCAACACACGTTTAAACGTGATTTTGAGGTTGAACATTGAGAGAGCTTCATCTGTGAGGGAAACATTCAATTTCAACTTTCAACCTTTATCTTGTGAGATTGTTTTGGTGAGAAAAATATCAATTCTATAATCCAAATACCAAACTATTTTTTCTATACATCTGATCAGAGTTCTGAAGATCGAGGAATTTTGACTGAAGTTTTAGTTTGTGAAAAATGCGGTGTTTTTCGTTAATACATGGGAAATAGACGATTCCACAAAGTTAGGAGTTACTGTAGGAGAACAGAATTCAGGAGAGCTTTGAAAACTGCAGATGGGAGTGGTGCAGGAATACAGAATTCAGGAAAGTTGTTGGAATTACAGTCAGAAGATCAGATAGTACGTATCATCGTCTATGTTGGTAAATTGTAAGTTACATATCGTTTATAGTGGATTGTTGATTGGTAAAGTGCTAAGAGTTTTTTCCTAGTTGGGTTTTTCTGTGATCATTCTGGTGTTGATTTACTGCTTTCGTTAGTGTTTATTGAATGATCATACAAACTGCGGTATTCAAACATAAGTTTAAACGAACATGATTGTTTAACCATCTAGAGATAACAACTGATGACTTGTTGCTAATTTGTTATAATATTTTTAATTCCGTATAATATATCTATTTACTCCCTCTAGGTATTGTTAGGGTTGAACTGCGTAACTTTCAATTGGCATCAGAGTCTTAATTTGATTCTTGGCCCTTTATAACATCTAGATGAGTCAGTCATTGTCCGTGTCTCCATTTTTCGATGGAAACAACTCCGCCTACTGGAAAGTTCAAAACACATAGACTCCACCTTTAACAACTGTTGCTGGTGTAGTCACACCCATTGATATATCAACGTGGACTAAAATTAATCTTGATGAATGCAACTGGAATAGTAAACCATTATATGTTCTGTTCATGACAGTATCTGCTGAAGAGTTTAGCCGAGTGTTGATATGTGAAACTGCTAAAGAAGTTTGGGATATACTAGAAATCACACACATGGGTACCAAAACTGTTAAAAAATCTAAACTGTAGATGTTAACTACTAAGTTTGAAGAGATTAGGATGAAGGACGATGAATCGTTCGATGAGTTCTATGCAAAGCTCGATGATATAGTTAACTCAAGCTTTAACTTTGGTGAAAGGATTTTCGAGACCAAAATCTTTAGAAAAACCCTTGGATCCCTGCCCGAGAGGTTTAGACCTAAGGTGATTGCGATAGAAGAGAGTAAGGACTTAGATGATGTTAAAATTGAAGAGCTCTTAAGATCACTTCAAATTTATGAACTTATAGTCTCACAGCCTTAAAAGGTTAAATCCATTGTAATAAACACCATTAGAAAAGAGGATAGGGAGTCCACTGATACTGAGACCCTTAGAGACCACGAACTTGCTTGTTTCGTTAAAACATTTCAGAAGGTGATGATGTATAGAAGAGTGCCTTAGGAGCTAAATATTGAAGTCTCTAGTAAATTCTCGAGAGGTAGGCGTGAGAAAAACACATCTAGGACTCCCATTATGAAATCTTAATCTGTTCAATGCCATAAGTGCAAGTGGTATGGTCACATTAGGAGTGAATGTTCTAATTTGAAAAGGAGTTCGAGCATAGAAGGTAGTAAGGCTTTAGCTGTGACCATGAGTAATGAGGAGTCAGAAACTAGTTCTTAGAATGAGACATCTGGTGGTCAGGATGATAAAAAATTTATGGCCTTCATCTCGATTGCTACAATCAAATCTGACCGTAAAATTGAGAAGGTTGAAATCGAGAATGATAATGAATAGTTTGAAGAAAAGTATGCAGATGAGACCGACATTCATGAGTGAAACGTGAAATCTTCTCTTCTTCAAAACCAAACTTCCTGCCTGTAGTGGCCAATGATTCCCGTATAAGGGGGATATTTCGAAGCTATTGAAGAATCCGGATATAGGAGGAGTGTTTCGCGAAGCTAGTTATTGTACTTGAAGAAGAACTTCGCCAACCATTCACTTGAATTAAGGTAATTGATCAAGCCTTTTTGGATTGAATATGAGGGTTTTGGGATGTGAATTGAAATGGGTTGTGGTTGGTTCTGTGTTTCTTATGCTTTTTGGTTTAATCAATTCTTCGAATAGATGAACTGGTTAAAAGAAGAATTGTTTTTTTGGCTCTTTAGTTTTCAGATACAAGATGCTTTCCTTTTCACTTACATGTTTTTTTAGAGATGTTTGACAAATTTGTGTAATAAATTTTACTTAATGATGTTCGGTTTGAATGGAGAGCTGCAAAATTAGTGTATTAATTTGTTGGAAATTTAAATTTACACTAGAACGTACCCAAAGGTAGACACCAGATGAGTAGTCCATTTTTTCCCTTTTTAGCTTTCTGTAATACTCTTGCAGCTCAGAGCTTTATCTTGAAACTATACAATTACCATTTTAGCCATTTCCCCCTTTTTTCCTTTTGCCATCATCTCTTTTTGTTTGTATTATGTTTTCTAATTTTCTTTTTGTTTGAATTTGTTGCTTCAATTCAGTTTTCTTTTCCTTTAGTCATAAGTGAAGATGAAATCATAATTGTAACACAGAATATTTAGAGAAATTTATAGTTAAGTGAAGACATGGAAGTTAGTTAAAACATATTAAGATATTAAAAGGTAGATTCAATATAAAAGCATATTGAAGGAACTTGAGAAGAAGAATACTTTATTAATCATCAAGCTCAAGTAATCCTTTGAATACATTGCTCTATTTATAGAGTAAATTTCTAAAAAACTAACTACATAACAAACAAGAGAAGGATATAGAATAAACATCTAATAACAAATAGGAGAAGGATCTAGAAGAAAGATCTAATATTGGAATATTCCAACATTCCCCTTCGAGATGGAACATCTTGAATTGTAGAGAGAAGAACAAAGATGTAAGAGAAGCCGTTGTCGACAATAACGTCCAGTGGAGAAGCAATCCAGAGAAAAACAACAACATAATTCAACCGGAATAAGTGAGCATTCATAGCTCTAAAACTGGGCATTTATTGAAGACAAAGATCATCAACATTGATGAGTAAAAGGAAAATTGGAAATCCTAAACTAACTCCAGTAAGGACAATTCCAGCCAGCAAAAATACAGCCATAGGGATGTGCATCTCTTAGCTAATCCCAAAATTGATAATAATAGAGTCGACAAACTCTAAGAATGGATTTACTAGAAAAGATCCTGCAACAAGCACTGAACCATATATCATAAGGTAAAAAGCGTTTTTCCTGCTAGTTGGCAACAATTTCATCCCCTGGAAGAGAAAGATTATGATGACAAGGCAAACTCCAATAGCCATTGAACTGCTATAATAAAAAGGAACCCAGCTACTAACAATTGGTGCAAGCAGCAATAGTACAATACCAAAAGCAAGACAAAATAGACGCTGCCTCTGATACACTTCTGCAATTTTGTCAAAATTTTCACCCTCTACAGAACATGACTCTAGAAAAAAAAAATTACTAAGTTGTAAATTATGTACGGTAAGCATCTGCAAATTCTGAAATCAAAGAGCTTTCCATTGCCACTTTCTTCTCTGGTGGAGATATATAGGGGAAGGCCACAGAGAAGTTGGCGTTTGAAAAAGAAGCCTTGAGCATGTCCACTAGTGCTGCGTCTGAATTTTTGGATCCAGATATATCCAGAGACTGCAACTGTTTTCCTACAAAAATAAGTGAAAGATCTAGAGCTGGAAG